ATTGAGATGGCGCATTCTGTTTAGTATGAGCATAAGCAACCCATTGATTTCCTATCACATGATTGATATCACGGAGCAAAAACCCACATTCTCGATAGGCAACGATCTATCGAATTTCGAAATTTGCCGGTAAGCATTTCCTCTTCTTATTCGATGCTTTACACGATATTCTGAGCCAAGTCCAGCCTTACAAAGCGCTTTCCGAATAAGAAATTGACTATAAAACTTTTTATTTTTTTTAATGCAGTGCTTCAGATTTTGTTTCTCCCTCCTGTCCTGTTTAAAATACGCTGAAATACAAATCATTTGCATATCCTAACCTCTTCTTCCTTTCATGTGATTTTGACGTTCGTCAGATCATTCCTTCCTGGTGTTGCAATTTTAATGGCCAGCAGTGTAGAAGTATATAACTACGACCAGCGATTGCAAATATAAAACGGACGGGTAAGGGGTTGTCTATTTAAATATATATAGGTTTGGAACTGCCGATTGCGATAAAAGAGGGAGGTGTACAACTGGATGTTATAGCAGTCCCGTATGAAACATTTCAATGCTGTACGGCTAATGTGAGATACATATGTAATTACGTGCGTAAAGAAGTTACGAAAAAAATTCCATTTTAAAATATTTCGTTTTGGAATAAAGATTCTTTTATACTGTCCGTAGGATTCAAGAACGTCAAAATGGATATTTTCGTTGAAGTCTGACACCTGAAATGTTTTGCGATTACAATAATTCGTACAAGGAAATAAAAAGCATGTGGTAGAACCTGTCTCAAAACAAAACGATAACTATCTCCCTAATAAATACGTAGTAAGATTTTCGTATAGATAAAAGGCCGATGCCAAAAGCACCGGGCAGCAGAATTTAGGGACGGTGAAATTATTTTGAATTTAGTAGCCCAACTTAATAGCAAAATTTAGAGATATACAAAATATTTAGGACACTTGTTTTCTATAATGGCCTTGGGGAGCGAAAACGGCTTGGCGCAATTTGGGCCTAAGATCGTGTGATTTGTTGCCGGATAATGTAAACATTCACGAAAAAGGAATTTACTACTGCAGACAATAATTCACTCAGTAGTTACACAGTATATGTTTAATATGTACATATAGAAGAAATTTAGCATTTTACGCAGTTTTGACAAAGTTTATTTATAATAGACACAAAATAAGTCAACATTTATTTAACATATACATTAATTATGTGAAGTCCCATTTCGGGGTTTTCTAACTCAAGCTTTCTGGAGATGAGAGCAAAAATTCAGGCTTGTTCCCTCTTCTGCAGATGTTCTGGAAGGAAACATAAAAAACCTGCTAATTCAGCCGTTGTTTCTCCTTTCATTTCAGGTTTCATTATAGTTTGTGGAAAGAAATTGGAGGTAAAATCCGTGTATTTTAAGTTACTCCGGAATAAGAGCGAAAGAAGGAAAACCGAAAACAGGAGGCCTTTTTTAGGTTCATAAAGAACAATTATTTCAGCCGGAAAAGAAGACATATATCTTGTCTTTATGCTACCATATAGTAACTCCATTCGGCAAATGTCTGTAAAAATCCATTTTCTTATACATGGCATAAAATTTCCTTCTACGATCAAAGTCAGATTTTTAAAAATTTGCAAAAATAATGTATAAGAAAATAGCAAATAATGTATAAGAAAATAGTCTGTGATAGCAATATTACAGACAATTTTCTCAGAGCATTGCATTTTTAATACAGATTTAATGATAATCAAATCCTCAAAAATTTTCATTTTTGTTTTCAATGTTGCAGTTTTCTCTTTCAGTTTTTCAGTTTTCAAGATGTAGAATTCTCCAAATATTTTAGCCGCGATTCTTCTTTAAAAGTCATACTGATCATCCTGCAAGATAATAATAATACAATATTGAATTGTAATCAAATTTTATAACCTTTTGTTTTATGTATTAGGGGTAATCACTTTTGCCATTATTGGTTTATTTAAGCTCTCCATACACCAAGTTTAAAGGCTTAATTGTGACGTTATTTTATACTTATTTCACAGTCACTTGACCTGCTGCACTTTCGGATTAAATATTGACAAAAGGCTGAAATGGTACGATTTTTAAAAAAGGCCTCAACTGGGAGAGTCTGAAATGGGGCATAACCCATTATCATATTTGATACAATTAATATAATTAATTTATTTAAAATAACAATCTATATAAACACACTGAAAAATTGTATTTATTTCTGAACTTACCGGAAGATTCTATTCATTTTTTTATTTAATACAATTTCAGCAGCATTTAATTATAAAAACCTTAATAAACATACTGGAAAATAAAATTTTTTCGGACTCTATCTGGTGGTCATGATTCACCAATAGTTACTAATGCTTCAGACATCAACTATAGCTTCTTTTTACTTTGATGGAAGATTGAAAGTAGTAAGCATAATGAATAGTTTGCAGTGAAAAACCGCTATATGCATAAAAAATGCCAAAGAAACAAAGTAATATTCAATACACGTACCACAACTGACTACGGAATCATAGAATCATATAGTATATATACTCATAGGACATATGGAATTGCCATTTCTTTCAGCAAAAATGAAAGCAAGTACTTCATTATTTTGAGCAAAGTATACGATGCATTGCCATACATTTTTCAGTTTGATGTGATATGGAACCCACTTAAAAATTTCGAGAGAAAAGTAAACTAATTCTCTTTCATTATATCAGCAACAATGGCACGCAGCCATTGTTGCTGATATCACTATTGCCATTGATGCTGATTTCAGCACTGTTGCCACTCGGAGAAATGAGGGAGAAAATGAGCATTTTAAGCGTTTTTAATTAATATCTCTGATTTTAGCTATTTTTTTGGTTGGGGGGTGGACATCGATCTTTTACAGGGCCGAGAAAACAACTGTAGAAAGTTTGATGACGATAGCTGTAGTTAGTGACTGAGTTATTAGCGAATAACACACAGACTTTCTTCTTTATATATATAGATAGATAGATAGATATTGTTACGAAATGTACAGGCGCGGTAAGATGGTTTCCCCGCAGAGCAGTTTTAGGGTTGCCATAAAATGGCAAGGTAAAGCAGGGTTGCCACATTTGGCAAAAAATCACCCATTTCGCGACATTTGGCAATATACCATGGACGGATGGAGAACCTTCTGGAACGAATTCTTACCGGTTTAGCCCAGAATGTTTTCGAACATAAGCCGAAAGCTATATAAACCCTGCTGGTCCGCAGTCAGTTAGTGTGTGCCTCGTCTAGCGAGCTGATAGTCAGTCATTGAGGCAGTATCTCGAAGTCTAGCGTCGAGTTGGTCGTCGAGTGCATCGAGAGAGTCTTTTAGTGTATTGCGAATTAGTGCATCGTCGAATTTTGTGTTAGACTGTGCTGAGTCGAAAGTTATACTCTTGTGTATCGTCGAGTGCATCGCGAGTTGTAGCGTGGAGAGTTCCGAGAACGACCAAGCAGAGTCGGGAGATGTACTCTGGTGCTTTGCAGTGAAGCTATCTCCACCGTTATTGCCTAACAGTGTGAAGGCTGTGTCGCTGAACGTGTCAGCGTGTTTGTAATAGTTCAACGACTGTAAAAGTGATTTTGGAGCTATCTGATTAATATTGGTAAATAAAGTGTGTTTCGATACTTCATCAAGTGTCGTCGTTATTCACTCCAAATCTACGAACCCCGTACGAACGTGAAGGAAGAAAAAAAAAAAAAAAAGGTAACAATATTATTAAAAACATGAATGTTTTCGCACACTTAATTTTGCTATTATATATGTAATTTAATTATACATTATAATAAATAATTGTTATTGTGTAACAATTTTTATTATAATAATTTAATTGCTGTATTTTATTGTACATTATATTATAAGGTATTCTCTAATATTATCATAACTGATTAGAATAATTTAACGATAGGAAGTAATTATTTAATTAATAATTATTACATATATTTTTTAACTTTGATCTTAAATGGATGTATAATATTACCATTCTAAAAAAAGAAATTTCTTAATAATAATTATACAATAAAAGATGATAATTATAGTTATTTAATTATTGCGTAGTATCTTCGGAGGCACCATCGTATAACATCAGGTAATGCTCATTGAGCTGAAAGTAAGTTCCTGTTATGTTCTGTGATAAATAATCATGACATTTCTTTTTCATTTTTATGCTAAATTCTATATATGTTATTCTTCATATTGGCTATAAAAAACACGAAATTTATTTTAGAAAAAGAATGAAAAATATACTTATAATATTGATAAATGTCACTTTACAATACTAGAAATGTTACGATTACAATATTGGCAAATGTCATGTGATCAGTTACGTTCTGGATATACCAAATACGGCAGTAAACTTCCTCTTTCCGACGGAGAGAGGACACTCTTCTGACACTTCGTTCCGCATCTCGTAATTAACAGCCCTTCTAGAGGATTCCAAGTGTTTCGGCAGAATGCCAGGCAAGGTTGCGCTCTGTCAAACTACGCAATTATACATGGAGGTAGGAAGTTAGTCCTTTCTTACCTCCATGCAATTATACAACTACGAAAAACCAGTTAGATCGTTAACGGTTTGTTTCTCACACATGCGATAACCGTTCGTCTGAGCCAATGCAGAAATGCTCCTAATTAACATTTTCGCCAGGCAATAACAGACGGCAAGTATAATTTTTAGAATAAGCGGCAAAATTTTTTAGATTTCAGCGATGTATTTGCACTGAGTCTGCAACTGGCGGTAAAATGTTTAGCATCTGGCCTAGCAGAGTCTTTCTAAATGGCATAAAAGGCTATATAAATTTGAAAATTTCGTGGGGGCTTGATACGTCTATTGAAGAACATTGATCTAAAGTTAAAACACTTTATCATCATAGAAACTGTACGCTTCCATTGCTTATTCTGCTAAAGTAAGCACAGTTTATATATTGTTTAAGGTAATATTGCTTTTTCTTTTTGTGAACTGCAAGTTGATAATATTTATAAACTACTTTTTTTTCTTTTCAGAAACAAGCATCAGGCAACACAATTTCGTCACGTAAGTACATTACTTTTTTTGTTTCATAATTTCGTTGCTATAGTATGTTACTTCAGAATGGGCACTTCGCGATCATTTCTTTATCCCAGTCCGTGATTCAACCATGCCAACGACTGCTGCGAATAAAAGATCGAATCTTCTATTTTGTTAAAATCTCTTAATTTCCTCTGTGCGGATGATGAGGACGCACGTTACTATCGTAAATCAGAGGATGATCGGTGCGACCTTGAAGTGCCCATTTAAAGTAGCATGCATGGTAACATGAATGGCATAAAGCTACTGACTACACTGCTTTTAGATGGTGCTTCTCGGTTTGTGGAATTTATGCTGTTTTAAATTATACCTTATCCAACGAGGCCTAGGCCTCGGGCATCTTATTTAAGTGGCAGCCGAATCATCTTATAATTTTCTTTATCTTTACCTTATAAACACGAGGAAAGTGGGCACTAAAGGATCTATCTCTAAGAATGCTCGCACTCAGTTGATCTCAAAAAGTCAAAGGGGAAAACCTTTACCCTCTAATACTCCCGCAACGTAAAACAGAGACCAAATTTTCCCCTTTTTGCATGCAGTGCACTCATCTCATTGGATGAAAGTTCATTCTTTATCATTTAATTTGGCGCAATTTATTGTTCCGTTTTAGGCATTAAGTTTAAGGTTTTTGGCTGAATCGTTGTGTACAGTGAAATTTTTTATTCATTTCATGAGTTGACTTATTTTGTTAACTTGATTGGTCATTGTCCCATAGACTTTGATTATAAAACAAAACTATAAAATTATGGATCCGCTTTCGTTTAATTTTCATTCAATATTATTTATTTTTTATTTAATCTTCGTATAATTTCATCGCATAGTTTCAGAATGTATATACAACTTGAAAGCTGGAATTTTTCTATGCTTTTTAATCCTCCCATTCTTATTCCGATATAAGTTTCACGCGTTCGCTTATTTGATTCGTTAGGTTAGGTTATGGATAATTGCAGGAGAGACCTATTAGTTACCCTGAGTTAGTAAGGCCTGTTACACTAGTTATCCATATTAAGAACGCTTTCCTGTGGCCCACGGTGCTGTTCCGGTGCTGAGTAGCCACTGTTAGCTTATGCAACCGACACTGTCAAGGACGGTTCTATATCTCCCATTTTACTGGGCCGATTGACGAAATTCAAATTGCGTTTCCCATTTGTCGAAAGCGCGACTTAGGATATATATCTAGCATTGCTGTAACATAGGTGTCTTGACACAAAATTCGACTTTTCTGAAATAACATATAATGTTTTTCCGTATTTCGATTCTACGACTCAAATTATGCCTAGATATTAAATTTTGTAATTTTTGGTAAGAAATGTATGGAGAAATTTAAAAATTTATCTTGGCGAATGTTTTTTTCAATTTGAGCCCAAAATAATTCACTTGGCGAATTTCTTAATTTATAGCAACCTATTTTCCTTTCTCTTTTTTTTTTCCCATTGTCCACGAGCGCGGAAAAAACGTCGTTATCGCTTATAATATAATAAATATGCCAAATTTCAAAACATCCCAAAATGTCAATTTTGCAGATTTGCTTAGAAATATGTCTGCTTTAAGATGATGGCAAAAATTTTATAGGTTAGAATTCAAAATGTTTTTCGAAAAATTTATAAAAATTATTTAAAAATGCAAATTTTAAAAATAAATCATATAAAATGGGCAAATTTTATTTGGAATAAACCTAAATGTTTAAATATGAAAGGAAGAATCGAATATGTTTAATAAAAACCGAGATATTAATAAATATATATCAAATTCAATTAACAATAAGGAGGTAAAATTTTGAGAGCTAATTTTTTAAAACTACTCGTGCGATTTTCATAAAACTTGACACTTTGGCGTAATTTGAACCGTAGAATCGAAATATGGAAAAACAAATTGGATGTTGTTTCATAAAATGTCCGATTTTGTGTCAAAATACCTATATTTTTTTTTTTTTTTTTTTTTTTTTTTTTTTTTTTTTCTTTTTTTTTTTTTTTTTTTTTTTTTTTTTTTTTTTTTTTTTGTTTTTTTTTTTTAGAACAATGCTATGTATAAATCTAATACATGTCCTAAGTCGCGCTTTCGAGACATGAAAAACGCAATTTGAATTTCGTCAATCGGCCCAGTATAACGGGAGATATAGGAAACTGTCCCATTTATTTTTTTACGCAGGGTACTTAATTCCTCTTCATTGCATATTCACATATGGATCCCATTGGGATTGCATTTATGTTTAAGTTGAGCCAGTTATGTATTTTAAACGATGGAATCAAGTTTTCAAATTTGTTCAGATACGTTGTTTACACACTTTGGCTATTGTTGAGATATTTTTGAGTATTTGTGATTTACTCATATTGCTTCGTTGACTTACTGCTGTACGTAGGTGCTTTATACCATTTCAATGGAGACTGGGCATGATCTGATGTGCTTTGATTATTTGTTGTGACCATTTTCAGCTAGAAATTCGAATAATAATCATTAGGAACATAACATATTGATTTGGATGGAATTGCTCTGTGTTATACACGTCTAGAGCCCTTGATGCCTTGTTTATTATAAAAATAAACATAACTGAATGAGCTTTATTTTTCTGTTCGATGTTCAACGACCCCCCGATGCTGAACTTGTATCGTCAATTTATTCAAATGGAGATTATAACTATTATAGTCTGGCTTGTGTGCAAAGTTAAGAAAATTAGCACATTACGTTTAATTTTTGAAAAACTAATGGACAGGTTTTAATAAAATTTGACATGAATATACATTTATAACAGACAAAGAGATGTGCTATTCAAAAGTCATTCTATCTATGCACGATTATCAGTAAAGCTCCTAATGCAGGGATGTCCAAAACTCACGCTGTGATATCGAACTAATAATGAGTCTGATATGGGGTGTGGTCCCCTTTCACAGTCTGACAGCTTGCATACTGGACTGAAGGCAGTGGAAGAGTAGGCAGTTTTCAACTCCGGGATGGTTTTCAGAGGCGAATGGCGAGACGAAATTGCCCTCCAAGAGCGTCCCAGATGTGCTCTGTAGGGTTAAGTTCAGGACATCTGGCTGGCCAATCCATGCGGCGAATATCCTTTCCAGGTAATGTTCGACCAACTGAGCTCTATGTGGGCGGGCTTTGTTTTCCATTAAAAGGAACCCAGGACTAATAGAGCCCCTGAAAAGTCGAACATAGGGCTCTAAGATTTCCTATATTTCATAGCAGCCATGGATGCTTCGTCAAACATATGGAGGGATGTGCAGCCGTCCAACATAATGCCTGCCGAAACCATTACGCCTCCACCACCGTAATGATCCATTTCCTGATGAGGTAGGGTCGGTATCGTGTTTTAGGCACTTTCCAGCTACAGGTACGCCGAGAATCAATATTCAGGCTAAATCTCGATTCATCTATAAAAAGCACGCTACTCCACTGTAGTCTTGTCCAAGGCACATGTTGTCTGCACCACGCTAAACGCTCTCGCTTGTATGTTGCAGTCAGCGGGGCGTGTTTGTTGCAGTCAGCGGGGCGTTATATGTTGCAGTCAGCGGGGCGTTGTATGTTGCACTCTTCTGGCGTAGAGCGCTATGTCATGTGGCCTTCGGTCCACTGTAGACCGTGAAACTTGGGTTCCAGTGGCAGCATACAGCTCACGTGAATGCTGTAAAGCTGCAGCAGTCCTGTGTCTCATAATTCTGTATCTCATAGCGTTATCCATACGTTCGGGGCCACTCATTTTATCTGATGCCTCATAAATTTTACCGAACTCTGGCGAGAAACTTGACGAATGTCGTGAAGTAGTACGAGCACAGAAATCGCCGAAAAGCCTCTCCTGCGCTGATATCCCTTCCATAATTACACTTCCGCAGACACTCATGTGTACGCTTACGTATTCGATTTTAATGAGTTCAGCTAGTGCGATTTTATAAAAATATTTTGTGTTTCGAATCAGGCATCTCGTGTTTAAATGCATTTTTATTTTAATTTTATGAATTTTGATTTTAATGAATCAGATTTAAAAAAAGAATAAAAACATTCTTAAGAATTGTGTTTATTGCTTTTAAATAATGGCTCGTATGGTATTGTAATTGGTGCTACTGGTTAAAGTTCTGGAAACGCTACTAAGCAAATAGCGAGTTATCGGTGCGTCTTGAGCAACTCACAAAATACACGAAAAGATTTCTATAAGCCTTTCTATTTTATTCTCATTTTGAACATAAAGGCACAACTTCTGCTGCAGAAATTTCTACCACTTGTGGATATTTAAATTAACAGAACAGATAATTCACTTTGAACGTTGATATCGTTATACATTAAATAAACTCGCTTAGATATTTTACCGGCGCGTAGTTAAAATATCGGCTAGCGATACTGCTAATTCCAGAATATTACTTTTAAGCAGAACTGACGAAAATGTTACAACAGAATCATAACCGTCAATACGCTCAAACTGACTAATCTGAATTCTAAATTTGAAATAATTTGAGTTCTAATAAGGAACATGGAAAGAAGAAGTTATAATAAAGACTTAAATTATAGTAACCGGTTGATTAACATAATACATTTTACAAGTTTTCTACTTAATAACAGACAAATTAAGTTTAAAAATTAAATATCTTATACTTTAGTGCATGGCAACATGCTGGCGAGGACGAAATTAAAGTATTTTGTTTCGGTCAATGGCAATATATTCGTAGAAATAGCCGAGTTTATTGATTAAAAATGAAAGATAAATAAATACCTTACATTTTGCCAAATGGCAACTGTCTGTCTGGAAAGAAATAAAAATTCTTTATTTCGAACAGGGTTGTCACTGTTCACTTTTAAATCGCTCAGTTTATTAACCAAAAATTTATTAAGTTTTTACGAATCTCCAAATAAATAAAAATTCAAAATTCGGACTTCGGGGTGTCCATGTTCGAGTATATGTATTCGAAATTGGATGGCTTTAGTTGACGTCATTTTCCTACACTGCGAGGAACATAAATGGGAAGAGATGT